AGTTGGTAGAATTCTTCTATTTCATCTTCACTGACTTTAGTGGTTGGTGCATAAATTAGAATAATAGTGGTATTAATTGGGCTTCCCTGTAGACACATGGATATTATCCTATCACAGACAGCGTTGTACCTCATGACTGATCTGGATATTTTCTTTTTGACGATGAATGCAACACCATTCCTCTTCAATTTGTCATTCCTGGCATATTAAACCATGTGGTTGTCAGACTCAAAATGGCCAATGCCTAAGATATTGATGTTTATGTGTTCCATTTCATTTTTGACAACTTCCAATTTTCCCAGATTCATACTTTGTGCATACTTCAAAAGATCTCTTTAAAGTGTTAAAAATCAAATAAGTCACATTGAAGACTCAGTTGTGACTAACCCAGGCTATGATTTTATTTTTCAATAGCCTCATATGTATGTGAAAGTTGGACACCGATGACTTTGAATTATGGAGCTAGTGAAGAATATTAAGTAAACCATATAATGCCAGAAAAATGAACCCATCTGTCTTGGAAGAAAGAAGTACAGCTAGCATTCTCTTTAGAAACTGATAGCTCAACTTCATTTCACATACTCAGGATGTGTCTTCAGGAGGTACCAGTTTCTGGAGAAGGACATCATGTTTGGTAAAATAGAGGCAAAAAAGTGAAAGACTCTCAATGAGATGGATTGACATAATGACTACACCAATGGGTTCCAACAGGAAGGGTTTTGCTGTCCTGGTATGAGTATGGTGTTCAGACCAGGCAGTGTTTACTCTGTTGTGCATAGAGTTGGAACTGACTTGATGGTGCCTGTTGTAGTATGGGAAAAAACACTGGGTCACAAGTCGGTTTGAAGCACAGTTAGTTCAAACTCACAAGCCACTCTATAGAAACCCTAAACAGGGTCACTATGAGTCAGAACCAGGTCGATGGCATTTAGCAACAACAGTTGACAGTGGTAACTGGGTACCATGTAGTTCTTCTGGTCTCAGGATCATGGTGACCAATGATAACATCTCCCATTAGTCCGTTGGACTAGTTGATTCCAAGAATCTTCAATTCTGATCACTCTTCTTTCTGCACATGGAGAGACCAATAGCTGCACCATAGATTGCCAGTCATGAGCTTTTAATATCCCTGATGCTGTTTACAAAAGTAGGATGTAGAACATTGTCTTTGTGGAATATATTGTGCCACTTGACCATGGTGTCTCCTGAGACTATGGTCCTGAACAACCAGGCTCAGCTACTGATTGCCTTAAGATGTTTGATAATATCTAAGAAGTTTTCATCATTTTTTTCCCCACTATATGAATAACCACATTCACAGTGGTGTTTACAGGAAAGGTAAAATATTATATACCAATATCCTCCTTCACAGTCTTGTAGGACATATAAATGTGTGTGTGTGTGTGTGTGTGTGTGTGTGT